TCATAATGTTATAAATCCACGTATCTACACTTAGGCATGATCTGATGGCTTGTAGCAGTTATTCCACCAAATGCTGGAGATGGGCATGTGTCTGAAGGAAAACTTTATCCAATGGATTAGAAAACAGAAGAGGTTAAAGCATAACAGCGCTTCGGGCACTGGATGTTTCAGAGTGTGTCCTGCCAGCAGATGATTCCCGGGAGTCAGCAGGTTGCCTCTCCCTCGTGAAGTTAGTGATTAAAGTGTTAACCGGAGCTTCCTAGAGGTGTAACCGTGACTAAGGGCGCGCTCCTGTCAGCGCTTGGAGGAAGGAAAGTGTGTAGGTGAATATTCCCGACATGCACTGAGGTGCGGGGAGTGTCCTGGGGTTCCAGCACTCCCAGTTCAAGCAAAATACTAACGAACAGCCTCGCGGCTTCCTTGGAGCAGCCGAGGAAGCTGTCAGCCGGGGCCATGCTGTCATGCCTCTGCCAGGGCTCAGGGAAAGGTGTGTGAAACTTCTCCTCGGATCGCACGCCCAGGTGAGTGCAATGGAAAGCTGGAGCTGTTCTGCTTGCGGTGTAAGCTGCAGTGGCGGGGGAAAGCAAGGTCCTTCGCAGCCACCCAGAGCTCCAGTCAGATTCCTTTGGGCTAATTCGGGTGCCGGAGGGAAGGAGAAATGCTCACTCAGAAATTCTCGTCAAAGCAGAATCTCCCATTTAGGGGGTTTGTGAGTCAGCTGAGATTGAAGCAGGTGGACGATAGATCGTGCTGCTGCTCCGTGTGTCCGTGGGCACAAGCCTTCTCTGCCCTGCATTCAGTGGCCACTGGGATTTAGAAGGTTGATCAGTGACCTTGTGTGTTCTTTTTTGGCAGGTAAAAACGGTCTGTGCTAAGCGGCCCAAAACAGAAAGTAACTTTACTTCATAATAATGAGTTACTTAGTGTTTGAAACGTCTGCAAGCCCTGGTCTATCGATGTGTGAGGAGAGGGAACTTGTGGATCTCCTCCGTTGTGACTGGCACATATTCAGATAAACACCACCTTGCTGCTGGTTTTGGCAACCAAATCCCGTTGTGAGCCTGCCTGACCAGAGGGCTTATCTGTGATTTGAAATCAGGTAGTGCTGTTACTGCTCCATACTGAGCAGCTGACTTTTAAAATAAAGTGTGAAGAAGTCTGAAAGACCAAGGAAAAAACAACCCCCTTGTTTTCAGTGGGGAAAATTGTTCAGATTAAGTACTTTGTTCTAATTAAAACTTTTTGATGGCAGGGACATCTAACTTAAACAAAAAGAAAAAAAAAGACAACATGAGGGCTCACAACTAGACTATGTGACTAGTAAAATTATGCTGCTGATACTGAATTTATCCATGTGAATAAATCCTAAACTCATCTTTATAGATACCAGTAATGCTCCAAAATTTTGCTAAATACCAGACACCTGTGAGTTTAGAAAATGAATTGGATGTGCTGTCTTGCCTATGGTGCAAAGCTTCTTGCTGTACAAACTATTCCATGTGGATGGAATTGATAGCTGAGTTAACAGACAGCTGAGCCTTGTGGCTTCCATACAAGAAAAGGAAAAGGTTCAGCCCGTCCTGGTTTCCTGTGGATTTAGAAGAGCTTTGGGAAGCACTGGGTCAAAATACCTGGAGATCTTTGTGGAGGTTTGGGGCTTTAGTGTGTCTCCACTGGTAGAGCTCAGCATGGCACACTGCATGCTCTGCGGTTCCTGTCGTAATTTATGGATGCACCAAAAAGCACATCCAGGCTGTGACACAAATGAAGGTGCTGCGTTGCTGCTCCTGCTTGGCTCAGTGTGTATCTCAGGTGTCCCTCTCCTTCCAGCCCTCCTCTGCAGCTGCCTCTTTTTCTTTGTGTAAAAATCTGTGTAGCTCTTTGCACTTCACTTCGCTGTGTCATTCCTCCACTGTCCTGTCCCTGGGCTGTCCCCTTAAGCAAATGACTTAAGGATCACTGTACTGAATGAAATGGAATGAGTCCTCTCATCTGCCTTTCCACTGACACTTGGATTTTATCTTGGAAAAAAAGCATTTCAGGTAAGATATAAAGCTCCAGAGAAAAGTGAAGCTCACTACCTTTGCGAGATTTGTCTTGTGCCCTGATGGTCTCACAGCTTTGGGATTGTGTAGTGGTCAGTTTTCTTTCCTTTTCCTAGACTTCTCCAATGGCTGCAGGCTTCCTCTAGAGATGCTCATTTTGCATCTGCCATGCTTCTTATTTACTGCTGACTTTGCCTTCCTTTTTCTTCCCTTTTGAAGTATTTTAGTCTTCAGTCAGTCTTCCTCCAAGCATTATATTTCTTCATGGTTAAATCTCAGGTCAGGAGGTTAGTCCAGCCAAGATCCCACTTTCCAGGTCTTACCTGAGGGAATTCTGTGCTTCTAGTCCGGTTTAACGTAATGGTAAAGACACCTGTGTGACACCAACCAAATCAGGAGATGGCTTTGAATAGATGGCACAGCCATATGTTGTCAGAAGAGCTGGAAAACTGGCATGGTTTGGTTAATTCAGATCCAAGGGAGCAGTGGCAACCATTTAATTTCTCCTATTTGCTTCCTCAAAAGAGCTACAGGGAAGTGACACAGAAAACAGTAAAATACCAGGAGGTGATAGAAAATCCAACAGCTTTATGGACTTAGGGAGCGCCAGTGCAAATATCCTGACATCTGTAGTGTCAGGTAATTGTGCTGGGGAAGTCACTGCGTGGTCTCAGTCTGCAGATCTTGGGCTTGATTAAATATAAAGGCTATGGGACATGTGCAGCCAAAATGCACCCATGGGAAGGGTACAAGGAGAAGTGGTTTGTCTCTGGGTGAGCTGGTGGTGTGGAAGTGTTTGGTACAAGGTTGATAAGAGCTGGTCACATAACTGAAAAAAACCCAGTGCAAGTTTTTGTGCTGTTGTGCCAGCTATAGGAGAGAAGTCTTTGTCCTGGGTATTGGGGCAGTGAGGGAGAGATAAGGGAGAGATGTTGGTTAAGAACTATTCCTGTCACGGCCTACTCTTCCAACTAGCTTTATTTTCAATATTTTAATGGCATCTAGCTGATTTAAGATCTGCTTAGTATGTTTAAGGCAAATAATTTACTAGGAGCCAGCCACTGTGTAGCAGAACAGGTTCATCTCCTTTGTTTTCTGTGTGTGTAAAGATCACTTCTCTCCATCTGTAGACATCAGCTTTTCCTTTCAGATGAATTGTTTTAAGGACAAATTGTATGGAAAATAACACTGCAACCACAAACAGTGAGTGGTGCTGGAGCTTGCCAGCGTCACTACTCCCCAGTTAATAAGAGGTGACTCGGTTCTCCACTGCTCCAAGCATGTTGTTTCCTGACAGAAAGGAGAAAGCTAAAGTGTGTATGCAGTTATTCAGGTGCCAATGTACATAAACTCCTCTGCATCTGGTAAAATTGGCTTGCAACTACACTGGCACAGGCAGCTGCTTCAGTTAGAGGTCTCAGTAAATCACATGAAATCAGATTTCAAGGTGTGACCAGTGATACTGAACTTATTTCAGAGGCAAAATCCCAACACTGGTGTACACAGTGTATTCCTCACACACAAACTGATATCTGTATAGAAGTCCCTGGGCTTGTTTGGTACAGGCCAAATTTTGTCTTGATGGATGTCACCAAAGGACAAAGGGTGCTGTTCCTTTCGGTGAGCTACTGATGGAGCACTGCTAGAAACCCCAGCTGCTCAGGTAAAGCTCATTTTGGTGGTGCACTCTGGTTTTAGAGGTCATGAAACAACTTCCTGTATGTTTTGTAGGGCAAAGATCATGTTTTTTACATGCAAAACATCCCATTTGTCCACATATGTTTTTTGGAAGCCATTCATCTGTGATTATGGAAACTCGGTGACTTTAAAAAAGCAGCTCAGTAGTGCAGGACACAGAAGCGAGGTGTTGACTCTTTGCCCAGCCAGGATATATTCCAGCCTGAATGCTTCTTCACTTGGTTCTTGGAAGGCTGCTGGTCGTCGGAACTGTAGGCAATCAACTACTTTGCAGGTGTCTTTGACCAGGCCCTGTCCAATGCAGGCTGAAATCAGACTCAACTCCATCTCCTGGCAGAAGGGAGATGGACACTGAGTGCTGTGAGGCAAATTCCTCTGTTGTCATTCCCAAGTAAGAGAAATAAAAGTGGAATGATAATTTCCAGTGCAATCTTCAGAGATTTTACTACTTTTCATGAGATGTCTGTGGGGGTTTTTCTTCTCCCCTCGTGTGTGATGCCACTTCTCAGGCTGAAACAGAGGTTTTTTTCAGTGTGGCATCAGTTGGCAGTCTTGAGTCTGTCACGTTACTCTCCTCAGCCTACCTTCTAGTACCTGAGGGGGAAGGAAAGAGCCAGGACTTGGTAATTAAGCTTATTGAGGAATGCATTGTTGGAGTCTCGTGGGTCTGGCTTCTTGCCTGCACAACATGATGGAATCACGACGTGGAGATCTGTAAATTGTATTGCTGCATCCCTGTAATTATAGCCTCGTTCACTCTTTACTATCCCAGCTGCTTCCTCAGTGTGCTGCAGGACACTGCTAAGGATCAACACTCCTTCTCTTGCCTAGTTTTAGGAACCCAGTGAAGGGTGGATTGCTGAGTACGGTGTGTTCCAGTGCCCCTGGGCAATGCTCTCTATCCATAATGGACAAATGGATCCTCACCAGTACAGGGGCTGCTGACTCAGACTGCTAACGAGTGAGGCATAGTCATGGGGTTGGAGTAGTCCCAAGACTGCTTGAAGAAGTCCTGGTATATGTAGTACTTGGAATTTAAGTTACTGGTATATACTTGGTGGGAATGGCTTATGGCTTTTTTGCTAGGAGTGGGAAATATGTGGGTATTAAGGCAAAGTATGAAGTAGTCAACATCAGTGTAGTGAGCCCTTAGCTTGAGTGTCCCAACCTGTTTCACTAAAGCTTTGCTCCTGATTCCTATTTAGTCTCCCCTAGTGGCACTAGTGGATATATTTATTTTTCTAACCTTTTGTTTAGATTCATCTCTTCTGAGTAAATGAAGAAAGTGACTATGAAAGCACAGCATCTTCCTTCTGTTTTCATCAATGAGGAGAAGTTCATAACCAGGTAAATTATTAAAAAACCTCAAACATTCGATGATCTTGCTGCTTTATTTCACATTAGTCCATATTTATTCCTTAACAGGGGATCCTGTCCTGAAGAGAGCTGAGCCTATAGCAGCAGACATTTCTACAACTTAATTTATTTAACCTGTCTGCAGAACAGAGTTGGCCTTTATATGAAATTCAAAGAACAGAGCATTAAACCTTTGGGTCTGTGGGTTTTGTTCATTAAGGAGAACAGCCCTTCTAGAGGATTCTGAAATGAAATTCCAAGTTAGGGAAGAAGACTTTCCTGTCTTGGAAGTCTATTGGAATTGAACATGAGTTCCAGAATTTAAGTTGAGCTCTGCTTCTCCGTGGCTTGGGGCTTGGCCTACAGCCCCAGATCTCAGGGTTTCTGTGCAGAAATGTCTTTCAGGCTGCCAGCTCTGTGCTGTGATCAGTGGAAGCGGCTTTTTCACTTACTTCCAAAACCTTGGAATTGCACTCAAACTGCAGTTTATGTGATGCTTTCTTACTGTTCAGTCTGGCTGGTAGGAATTTTTCCTAATGCTACCCCAAACTCTGAGCCTCCTGGTGTTTAGCTCCATCCCCTTTTTTCAGGATTAATTTTCCCTTGTTGTCAAGAGCACAGGAGCTGGAAGAAGTGCCTCTCTTCTCACTTCCTTTCCATCCCTCTTGGTGTTCCCATGGGAAGAAGCTACCTGTAAACTACTTATAAGCTACCCCAGGGGAATTTCTCCTACTACAGTAGATATTTGTTCCTGAATCCTGATCTTTTTCCATGTGGCCTGAGCAGTGCTGTTGATGTCTCCCTATTCAAGGGAGGGTGTCAGGGCCTTGCCTGGAGCACAGAGACAATAAAGACATCCCTCCCTTTCTCCTCAGACGTTATTCCTTTTAAAATGCTGCTGAGTTGGGACACGGTGCTTTTGTGTCAGAGGTAATTCATTGGTTTGAGCTCCTGCACAATTGGCATACAAAAGCATTTGGAAATGTACCACATGAACCAGTGTCTCTGGGACTTTATTCTCCCCTAGACTTGCCTATTTAAGGGGGGAAATGTGGACCGTGGTCGAGACCTTTTTGCATGATAGTTCATGGTTTAAAGTTGTTTTTGCCTTACATTAAAAGAAATAAGAGCCTCAAGAATTACTGACATTCCGTATGCACTCAGGCTTGCTTCCAGTGCCATTCCCAGACTGTCCTCCCTCATCTAAACCTTGAAACTGCTGTTACATTACTGCTCTTCTAGTTGCATCCTGCAAATCTTGCTGATGGGGCAAGTCTGCTGTTTGGGAATTGCACAATGGCTGGATGAAAAGGCTGACCAAAGCATGTGGGGTTATTTGGCTGGCTGAACTGCTGTGTCTCTGGCATACCTGCCATAAATATTCATGATTAAGTGAGATGGGCTCAGGGAAGAAGAGGGCACAGGTGAGTTGTCCTGGGTTAGTGTTTTAAGAAAGCAGTGTGGGCTGTGCTGTGGTTTACCACTGGGGCACCTGACCTTGCAGCTCCCTTTTATCTTGCTTTTGCTACTGAAGAAAGTGGTGAATCTGCAGTAAATGTTACGTGAGTTGTTCTGCCAGTTACTTGGCTGTGGTCTCCATTAATGGCTGAGTTTGGCTGTTGTCAGGAAGCTGCTGAGAAGAACAGACTTGCAACACAACAGCTGCTGATTTTCTGGTAGCCAGGCACTGCAGAGATGGCATCTGTCTCTAGGCTAGGGTACTAGGAACATGTGTTACAATAAGGCTCATCCTAGAACTGAGCTGGTCCATGTCTTACTCCTTTCTGGGGCTAAAAGAAGGAAAATGTTTTCTTTTCTGATGTCTGCACTACACGAGGACAAACAAATCAGTGTGAGCTGCTGTTCAGTCTCTCCCTCAGGGCTTTTCTAATGACTTGAGAGGTTTGTCACTGTTGGTTGCACTAATGCAAGACTGAAACCTGAAAGATGTACTTACATGAACTTCTGTGGAAGGTCATGGCAAATTTTTCTAGACAAGGCAAGAAACTGTGCAAATCTGGAGAGCTTGCTCTGAGAAAGAGAATCTTACCACACCACTTGCTGCTGTTAGCCTATGATTTTATTTGCCTTTGCAGACAACATGGACTAAGAGTAATAGGCAGGATTCAGTGTGACCCAAGTCCTTATGTGTTCACAGTCTGTTTTGAGGGAGCTCACCTCCCCAGCTACTGACCTGGAAAAAGCTTATGAAATAACAGCTGTCAATAACAATATAATACTAAAAGGTGTTACTCTGGGAAATATAAAAAGTTTGAAGCCCATGTCGAGCAGGATCAGCTGTCACATCTGTCAGACAAAACTGACTGTCTCCTACTTGCACATTAATCTTGAATTGCATCTGGAGTTTGCCTGTGTACGAGGCCAAGACGTGCTTAATCTTGCTTACCTTGTAGCCAGCATGATTAGAACTGGGCTTATATCTGGTTCATATCCAAGTCTATTAGAACTTATCCTTTTGGTGGGATGACCTCAGTGCAATCCCTCATAGCTCACAAGACACAAAGAACCTGTAATAAGCCATCCCAACATGATGGAGAGAACAGGTTTTGCCACTTGTATTCCTAGGATTTGAGACCAAAGTGAGTCGAAGTAAATGTTGAAGTCACTGGTTTGGAGCCCAGCACTTTGTTGATAAAGCTACTAAAAAGTATTTCTTTGTGTGGAATTGCAGTAATGTAAATGATTTACATCCAGAGTGTTAGCAGGGAACGCAGTGAACCTTGTGGAGTTTAGTGGTGTAGCCCTTGTCCTCATGTTCCCTGCCAGGTAAAAGCCCAGTTGATGTTTTCCCTTCTCACCATGGGAGAAGGCTCAGTAAGCAACAGGACACTGTTGTGTTTGCTAAGTGGAGAAGGGAGGGAGGGATAGATATGCCAGGGAAAGCTTTTCACATGCACACTCCAAGTGCCCCTCTGTCCCAGGCACAACAGAGACACATTCACTGCCCTGCTGGCTGTCCCTGCTCTCCTCTCCAGGGTGTGCCAGCTGAGCCCAGGGGAAGGCCACGTTCCTGGGGCCAGACTGCACGCTGGGCTCTGTCCCACTGGGGCACCCTTGCACTTAAACCTGGGGGAGAAGTTGTAATAGTGCCTCTGTTGGTACATGGGTCCTGAACAGCTTCAGCAGGTCTGTGGAGACCTTGTGGTGCAAAGAGTTCTGCAGTGCTGTCTGTTTGAACCGTGGTCCATAAGGAAGAGCCTGTGCTCTTCCATGCAGTTGTTCCCCATGGCTGATTACCTCTGCTGGTGGAAATTGCTTGCTTGAATTACAGCCTAAGTAATCTTTGAGTGGTGTGGGGAAGAGCATTTCATTCTTGAAGGCCCTGAAATACATTTCACCTAATTCTGTTGTTCCCCAGCCCTCCTTAGCTGAGCTGCAGCTGGCTTTTTGTCTGCGTGGCAGAGATTCTCTTCATCTCCATCCGTTTTTCTTTTGAGCAAAGACTTGGTGCAAAGTTGTTGTGCTTCAAGCAGACGGAAATAGAAATTCTAAGCATACAGTAGATATTGGGAAATAAGAATATCTGTGAAAATATAAGAAGCCATTGTAAATCATCATGCAGGGAAAACAAACTGTAAGCCTCATTGAAATAACCTGCAATATTGGTGGATGAGGGTGTTGTTCCTGTTTGCTTCCTTCTCTTGACTGTTAACAGAGGTCCAAAGTACAAGCTATTCTGGGGCAGTGTTATTAAGATCATGTCAGACTGTGACTAATTAATTTCCTGTGTGTATCAGGTGTTTAAAGAAGCAACTTATGAGCAATCCAGTAACCTGACAAAATTTTAGTCCCAGAAAATGGTGTATTGATCATTAACAAACCTATGCAAGGATGCAGTGGGTAGCACAGGTATGGGGTGTCACCCTGCCACATAACACCTGCATTTTACATTGACAGACATGTTATAAATTATTCTTTCTTTGTGGTCTTCTAGAGAGCAGTTCAGCTTTCTTCTGAAGAATTATAACTCTTACTATTCGGATCAAGAGAATCTACAACTGACATGTAATCAGGTAAGGAATTAGGCGAGAGAAACTCCCACTAATCTGGAGGTACCTGTCTCTGCTCTCTTCTCCTCACCGCACTGGACTCCAGCACTTGCTGTGGGTTTTTTATTATGTGACATGATCCATCTAATATAAAAAACCAGAACAGATTTCCTAGACTGATCAGGTCAGCTGCAGTTTTGGATGTCTTGGAAATACCTCAAAACTGAGGTTCCACGGCCTCTCTAAGTAACCTCTGCCAGAGTTGTGTCAGCCTCAGCGAGTCCATTGTGTTCTTGTTACTTGAGGGGAAATTGATTACTACTTTATTTTTACTCAGTTGTTATGTAGTACTCCTTATTCCTTTTTTTTCTTGTCTCCAGCGAGAAGGAGACGCACCATTTATTGAAGGAATCCTGTCAATATTTTGGGGAGTGCGACACCCTATCCGATTAAAAATTCAGGATGAGAAGCTGATACCCTCTTTTGTAACCCTGAAGTCAACAGGGAGCGTGGATCTGTTCCCTAGTAAAAGGTAATGTGTGAACTTCCCTAGGGAGGAGGCAGGCTAGCATTGCAAGACAGCTCTTGGGGGTGGCTTCAATGGATGTGGCTGGCTGTGTACCCCAGATTCTCCAAAGGCTCTTGGTGCCAGCTTGCACAGCAGAGCTCTGTGACTGATATGGCCTTTCAACAGCTTCTGCTGGGCAGAAAGGTGTGTTTTTGTAGCATCTTTGTCTGGCTGTCAGATTGAGGAGCTGGAGGAGGCTGCTCTTGTTCACAGGAAGTGACTATTCCCATACAAGGACTGGGAAATCGATGTATGTGAAATATATGTATAAAGAAACCCCAAACAAACTCCACATGTATCTGTGGACACCTGATACTGGGAGCCCCTGAAAGGTCTCATGTTGGTGCACGCAGTACGGCATGAAGCCAAAAGCTGATAGTTAAGTGCCCTCCTGGCTGCTTCAGGTGTGGAATCATTGCTGTTCAGCTGAAGTTCACACCAGGGAATGAATCCTGGCTTTGTGCAAAGTCTAGTGTAGAAAACCCTGTTAAAATGCCCACAGACCAGCTACTCCAGGCTGCTACCAGTGATGTTTTATATCCCAGTGTGTTGTGCTCAACTATTACAGGTTCTCAGTGTACTTTTCCTTCGTTTTGAACACTTATTTCCCCAGCCTGAGTTGGTGCACTTGAGCTAAAGCTGAGTCATGTGCAATAGGGAGGCAGTTCACCCTGAATGACTCCCTGATAAATTGTGTATTGCAGAGCTTCTTTTCCTAATTACCCATTGTCTTAGATTGCATGTGGTGCACGTTGGAATTCTGGATTTAATTCTGCCATCCTTGCAGCTGGGAAATTCTAGTCAAGACAGGGACAGGTTTTCTGTCTCTGGCTGTTGAAATTGAGGGCTGAGGCCTGACAGGTTCTGTGTTTACTTTGCCCAGCTCTGCTGGTGTGGGGGTGTGTGGCCTGCAGGACAGGGGCCACTCTGGCAGCTGAGGTCATGCTTTGCCTTTTAGTGCTTAAGAAACTTCTGGCTGGTGGAGATCTGAATCTTAAAGTAAACATTAACTCATGATCCCAGAAACATGGGGCTGCCCTGACATGCTTTAAGGTATGCAGAGCAGCTTGGCTGTGTGATCCTGAATGAACTTGGTAAATGTGTGGAACACAAGTGAGATTGTTGTTTGGTGTGTTCATGGGAGTTAGCTGAATATTCTTTGGAATATATATATATATATATATATATGAAATGAATTTTTATTATTGTCTTACAAATTGGTTTATTCTCAGTCAGAGCAGTAACTGGATGAAGACTTTCTGCTGAAGAGTTTAGGCAATGAATTATGGAAATGTTGACATAAAAAAGGTAGATTTTCTAACAGGCTGCATGGAATTCCTTGCTCTCATACAGAACTGGGTAGCATGAAGGGCTGGTATGTAATTTAGTCTTCCATGTCCCATCTGTATAGCAGACATGTATCCTGTGACTGTTAAAACAACAATACATGTTTTCTGTGTGCCTGCCTGGTACTTTATTGTGATTCATCCATAACTTTGCTGTAAAATAGATAAATAATTACTGCAAGTTATTTAAGGGACATGATTTCTCTGTTCAACAGGCTCTAAATAGGCCTGTGATATATTTGGGATCCCTCATTATACCATATTTTAATAACTGATTTTTTTTTTACTTAAACTAAAATTACCATGCAGAAGTCTGTAGTTGTGTTCTGTAAAGTTCTGTGCATGGGCAAGAATGCACTACGTGAAGCCTGGCCACAGGATAAACTGAAATCACTGTGCTAACGAGGAGTAATAAATGTTTGGTCTTTCAGGGGAATGACTCGCTGGGGAGAATTTGATGACCTGCATCACATTAGTGGGGAGACACTGAAGTCTGCTGAGGAACAGCCAGACCTCGAGCAAAGTTAGTGTCGGTGCTCTTATGTCCACAAAAATTTGGGTGTTCTGTGGCTGTGCAAAATGAATTTCACCCATCAGGCCTTCCCTAGCAGTGAGGGGGAATCTTTATGCTCTGTGTGACGTGTTGCAAGCTGGGGGAACACTGACCCGGGGCTGGCTAGGGCTGACATTGTGCAGGTGGCTCAGTGAACAGCCAGTGCTGATGGGCTGTGCTTTCACCACGAGATCGTTCCCAAGGGAACAAAATAGCCAACTGTGGCCACTACAGCCAGCACATTCCTCTTCATCACATGCCTATGCCTTCCTCCTCTCCTGCTCCCCACCCAAAAAAATGTTAATAAAAAAATAAATACCTCCACCGAGAGCTTCCTTCCTCTGGGGTTGCTGGCTGGGAGGGGGGAGCAGCTGCACACGGTGCTGATGTGCCTTTGTTCTTCCAGGTTATCCGTGTTATGAAAGCCACACGCTGAAGCCCAGGAGTGAGCAGGAGCACGACTGTGCCACCCTGCCCCGGACCAGCAGCGATGCCGCGGCCGTGCGGAAGAGGACCAAGCTCCCCTCAGCAGTCAGGACAGAAGGAGAAACTCACAGGTTCTCAATCAATGGCCACTTCTACAACCACGAGGTAGGAATGCTTAGGCTTGGGTTCATCACCTGAGGGTGCGCCCCGAGACAGGGAACCCTGTCCAGTGAGCTTTGCCTCATGCTCGTGCCCTTGTGTGGCTGTTTTTGTTCCAGACATCAGTTTTCACTCCGGCTTTTGGATCAGAAACCAAAATAAGAATCAACAGCCATATGAGAACCAGACATGTGATAGAACAGCTGCTTCACAAGTTTAAGGTAACCTGGCAGGAGCAAGTGTGGCTGTGTTCTGGAAATGTTCATTCCAGCGTGCACTCCAGTGCTGCAGGAAAGGCAGGGAATACTGCATGAAATGGAATGTGAAAGAACCCACATGGGCCATTTGAAATGCATGGGTTGGGTTTGTTTTATCAGTGTTTCATGGCGCTTTGAGGCTATAAAAGTTACACCGGGTGTGTGGTGCGCGGTGAAGGGGAAACTGCAGAACCCCTTCCCTGAAGTCCCGCTCAGGAGGGTGAACGCTGCTGCGCTTCCATCGTTCCCAATGCAGGGAAAGGCTGGTCACTGCCCGTGGCAGGGCTGCCCTCCAGCGGACATCCCCAGGAATTGCGGTTTGCTTAACAGGGAATTCAATCCCATGTCTGGGAGATAGGTTCTGTTAGACCTAGGCAGGTGGAAAGGTCCAGAAAGTGAGAGTTGAAAGTACTGCTCAAGGTCAGTGCCGTACTGTCTGAAACTACATTTTTTTTCCCTTGGAGTTACCTTGGAACCATCTTCCGCCAGTATGATTATAGCCAGTCAGAAATACCTTTCCCATTAGTGCTGTATGTTTCTCCAATTCTATGTGGCTGCATAGGGCACAATTTTACTTTATTTATGTTAAACGTCCCATTTAAATTGTCTAGAGACTTGGCTATTGCAGAATTACTTGAAGTAGTTAGTGGGACTTGGGAGTGTAATACTGAAAGGAAGATGACTTCTAGGAGTAGTAAGGAATGGACTTACAGACTGGGGTGTGAAGTTTTGGAAAAGTTGCAAAGTAAGTGTTCAAAAGCTCTGCTGTTTGCTCAGTGTGCCTGTCAGGCAAGTTGGGTAGGCAGGGATCACAGAGTCTTACCCTGATGAAGATACAAGTAGCAAATCTACATGTAACATGAAAAGAAAGTTGTATGAAGTAGTTCAGGATGCTCCAAGGAAACCAGGCAGGAATGATCTGGGCTTGTCTAAGTGTGTTACTGATTGGGGCAATATGGAAGGGTAAGGATTAGGGTTGGCACGGGGCCAATGAACATGGCAGCATAGCTTTCTGTCTTATCTAAATCCAGCATCTTTAAACTCTTCCACAGACAGGATCTCTGTCTCACTTTGATCCAGATCTCTGAGCTGAGACACACAGGGAGTATCTGCTGAGAGGGAAATGCTGGGAAGGTCTGTGAATCTGAATGGATTTTCTTTTGTTTCACAGATAGAAAACAGCCCCCATGAATTTGCACTTTACATTATCCATGCATCTGGAGGTAAGCCAGCCACTGCTGCCTGATCACTTAATCTCTAATCATCCTCTGTGTGTGTGTGTGTGGAATGTGTACCTCTGAGTGACAGGGCTCATCCCAGACCTCTGTCCTCATTTGGGCAGTGTGGGTGCGGTGTGGCATTTTGGCTTCTCCAGAGACCCCTCAAATGTGTATCCTCTGGAGAGGAAAAGCAGAATGATTGTGTTGTGGGCCCTTTCAGCTGACAGTTTTGGATCACAGATGCTGAGTTCAAAGTACTCATTTTTCAGTGGGAAATGTTTACTTCCACAACAGTTTAAGTTCTTTAAGAAACAGGAGATTTGATCTTTATTAAAGGGAATGCCTGAAAGAGTGGAAGCTAACTGAGGGGGAACGTACCTTAAATGACAAAATATTAGGGACCTGCTAGGTATCTGGTAATTGCACAGCAGTCAGATATGGTTGATCTGTGTCAAAGAAAAAGGTTCCTAAATGCAGGAGGTACAGAGAGGCCCTGCAGTGTGTTCTGTATGTCATGACATTCCTTATAAATCCCAGAAAAGAAGCAGTTGAGGAGTGGAGACGTCCCCTTGCTGCACAGGCTGCTGCAGGGGCCCTCGGAGAAGATTGCCAAGTTCTTTCTCATGGATGGGGATGTGGAAGAGATCAGCAGTGACGTGCGTATATCATCAGCTCTGGTACCTCAGGGGTTTTTTCTCTGTTACCATGAGTAGTAGTGCATTTCTTGTCTTCTCCCTGGTAGGTTGCTCAGTACATTCCATTTCATCTTCCCTTTTTGGAATCAATTCTGCATAGAATAAATGAAGAGGAGAAGCAGGAGATTCAACAGACAATGGCAAGGTAAGTGGAAGTAGAATGAGGGGGGTCGCTGAGTCCAGGGGAATCTGTACAATGCTGGGCTGGCTCATGAGGAGAACACGTGGATGTAGCAGTGTGCAGGTACAACACTGCTGGGACTGCTGGAGAGAGGGGTGGGATTTATAATCCTTTCCCTGTGCTGTATACCCAGCTGTTCTGTTAAAGATTACAGAATAAATACTAACTACACACACAGTGGGGTCTTTTCAGAAAGTTTAGACCCTTAGAGTCACTTCAGTTTATTGTGTTTGTTTCTTGAGCCTTTACAAGCCTCAGCTTGTGCTTGCTGCTGTGTATTCCACTGGAAAGAATAAATGCAGTACACACTGTGGTACTGTTTTGGTTCTGTAGCATTTAAGCCACACTGGTGCCAAATGTCCCTTTAAAATGTGTGGTAAATGACAGGAATTCCTGTGACAGTAGCTCAAAATGCCCAATAGGGACAAGCCAGAGAGGCTTCTGTATTTGTGAGCAGCTGGGTCCTGAGACCAACAGCAGTGAGAGGCTGCAGTACCCATGGATCTGTGATTGGATGATGGGCTGATAATCATGTTGAATCAAAGTGTACAGGGAATATATAAAAAAATAGTAAGTAACACCTGCCATTTTCTAGTGGGAAGCTTTTCATTGCCCTTTGACCAGCTCATTAGAACTTGGGTTGAATCTTTGCAGGATCCTGTTACTGAAATGCATTCTCCCCCTCCATCTCAGGTACCTGAAAGAGAAGAGCCTGATACAGCAACACCTTCGCAGTCGAACTGTTAGAAAAACAGAGACCACGGTTTGATGGGAACGGCCCCTTGGGAACAGCCCCCTGGGTGTGCGGAGGGGCAGTCGCTGTGCTGCTGCTTCTGGGGGCTGGGACTGAGGAGCACTTCAAGCTCAGGGTGTGCAGAGTGAGGGAGTTTCTCCTGAGCATTAAACAGCCAAAACTGCCCCCACTGCTGCAGTGCTGGGATGTGGGTTGGAACCACCTAAGGAGATGCACTACATCCCCCAAACAACAGATGCTGAATCTGGCTTGGAACTTAGGGAAAAATACGCCCTGAAAAGCCCAAGGCTTTAAACCCTGCTGATGTACAACCCGTTACCTAGAGGCTGGCATAGGAAAAATATTGCAATAACCACTGTGTTCATAGAAAATATGCAAATTAAGTATATGGTTATCCCTCTATTAGAGAAATGTGGAATTGTACTAGCAGAAAGCTTTTCAGTAGAGGCAAGTGGCAGAAGGTATTTATGTATTTAAGACAGCAGGTAGGATTTTCACTTAACTTATAAAATATCCATGCAAGATGCCTGAAATCCCACTGGCTTCATGTTGGTAGATGCTGAACTTGCTTAAGCTTTGAGCTACGGTTAGAAAAACATAATTGGCAGCCTCCCACGTACAAGCTGCTCAGCTCTTAACCGTGAGAGGGTGTTTATCCCTGAAATACCTTGTGAAACGCAAAAGAAGAACTGTCACTGAACACAGGTGGGTCCTGGAAGGCATCTCAGTAGTTTTTGCTGCTGTAGTAAGTGATTCTGTGGTTCTTCCAGTGTTTTCTGTTTGAAAGGGAATGGAGAAGTGCTCAGGGAGAGGCTGAACATCATAACCGTGGAGGGTTGGGCTCGTGGCCTCCCCATGGATGCAATTTGAGTCCAGCCTAGCCCCAGAAAGGGCACAGCAGCCAATGCCAGGCCCTGTCTGGTGGAGTTGTGTTGGATATTGGAGCTCAAATTACAGAGATGCAAATAAAATAAATTGTGTGCAGTTGATGTTCCTCCTGCATTAGCCGATTGTTTTTACCTGGTATCTGTGACAACCTCAGCTGCCTTTGCCTTGTGCAGGTAACAAGTAAGTGAGGGAGGAAATGAACATGTTGTCTACAAATCATGTGGAATAAATCAAATTATAAAACTTTACACTGCCTGAGATCTTGGTACTGGGATGTGAATTCAAAAAATGAAGGTCGATGTGCTGATTGAAACTACTCCGGCTGGGGCAAGGGGGGTACAGTTTATAATCCTACCTAGGAAAATATTAGGGGCAAGGGAGTAGAGAGAGGAGAAATAAAAATAATTCAGTGGTTAAGATGTAGAGATTAAGTAATAGCTGCCTTAGAGCTGCAAATAAAAGTTCCTTGAAGCAGCAGAGCGTGCACCCAAGTGGAAATGTTGGAATATTAAATATTCGTAATTTCTTGCACAGCCCATATGGAAAAGAGGAGGTGTTTTCAAGCAGGTTCTCCAACTCTCTGTGTACATCCACACTTCCTAAAATGAGCTATTTTTGCCAGCATCTGATGTTCAAGACTTGAATCCTGTTTATTTCCCTTATCCTGCTGAATTGGGACTGAAAACTGCTGGAAGATAGCTCTGGAACATGGCACAGACCAGGTGCAGTCGCCCGGGATTTGAGGGTGAGTGAAATCAGGCTGTGACTGTTGTGGGCTTGGTTCTTTGTGAGTGCAGTGCTGTCTAAATGAACCATTTCAGACAAATACAAGAGCGGGGGAAGAATTTATTCCAGATTATTATGGGACATTCGTGGTAACACAGCAATGACACACGGGTGACAGAGGAAGTGGGGGCCCCTCTTGCATTTGGGCCCAAAGCCATTAATCGCAGAGACAGTCATTAAAAGGCTTATATCTTACCTGAGATCTTACATTTCCCTGCTGACCAGGTGTTTCAGCAGTCCCTGTCCTGTCCTTTTTGGGACATTTTACTTATTTTTTTCTCTCTCACCTTGTTTGGGATGCCAGAGATAATACTTTTCTCTGTTTAAAGGTAACTTTACAGCGCTCCCAAGCAGCCTATATTAGTGAGTGCATATGCTGTAGTTCAAGGCCAGTGTTATAAAAATGCAAAAATAATTATTCAGTGATTAAGTTAGAATGGTTACAGGCCGATTTTCTTAATTTGATCTCATTTGCACTTATGCTTTATAAGCTTAAGATTTAAAATGCCTTTGTTTTGGTCTGTGACTATTTGGGGTAATAAAATAACATTGCATACCAGGAGATGGTGGCCACAGTCAAACCCTGAATTTCCATCATTTAACTGATTGTTTTGGTGGAATTACTTAAGGGCATGCAGCCTCCCTCTAGCTTAACCTGGCTTTCAGACACTTGGTTTGGTTTAAATGCTCCCTGTGCAGTTTGTGTCACTTCCTGTCATCCAGCGAGGACCTTCCCATGGGCTGTGCAGCTCCTTATGCTGACAGCATTTTCTCACTCCTTTTGATAAGTTCTGGACCCTGGAAAAAAGGAAGATCCATGTGAGCAATAGTGTCAGGAGGGTGCTTGATGTGTTCGTGACACGTTCAGTGAGGTGGCAGCAGCAGGTCCTGTCCTATAACCTCGGCAGGGTGGGCACTACACTATGTGCAGAGCACAGATATGTTTATCACTGTGCAGGATGCATTTTGCTATTGCTGGTCAGCTCAGGTGGCCTTAGATTTGCTATTCGTTGGAAAAATACTGAAATACAGTTCTGGTTCAAATAGTAGGTAGAAATCTTTTTGCCTGTGCTGTTCAGGTGTATCCAGAGGTGGGCATTTTTTATTAATAAAAGAAAATTTTCTGTATTTTATCTTTTAAAGCAAAGACTTATGAAAAGAGAGAACAAGGCTTAAGGGTCAAGGATGGTTTGTTAAAGTTCAGTTAAGTAATACAGCAAAGAGAGGGAGGGAGGTGAGAAGTAGGGAAAAGCAGATTTACCGCAGGGTAAAGAGGAGCCAGAGCAGCTCTGGAGTATGAAGTTGAGTGGGCTGAAACAGCACTGAGAAGGCACGAGGGAAACAGAGGCATGGAGATAAACAGGGAAAATGCTTTGACCGAAAACCTGAGTATACCCGTTCTCTCCCTGTTGCCAAGGAGCTGTGGCTGGAAACAGAAGCAATACCTCTTTGAGGAAACAGGCCTCAGGGTTGGCCTCTCTGCAGCACCGTTCCCTCATGGCAGTGAAGGCGGCTGTGACGGAGCCCAGCTGCTCGGGGCTGATCTGTGGCTTGTACTTGAGGAGGGTGACGAGCATCCTGCAGGAGAGCAGAGCTCTGGGAAGTGGGAGGGGAGCACGCGCTCACGGAGCTTCCCTCCACCCCAGACCTGCAAACCCCCGTTCCGGTCCCACCCACTGCCTTCCCACAGCTTTTCATCCTTGTTCACCACCCAGACATGGATTTCTGGCCGGGAGCAAAGGGGTGCCCTGTTCCCCTGTGAAATGAAACATCCGTGGCTGGTTTTGGAGTGTTCCAAAGGAGAAGGCGGGACAGTGGGCAAGGGGAAGGTGAGCAGTGCCAGGGGTAACAGCAAACCAGCATCTTACTCCTGCTTCCTGTGCTGTAACTTCTCCTCTTCTGAGGTGCACAGGTCTCCATGGAAAGCAAAAAGGCCTGGAGTCAGTGCTAAGGGCACATAACTCTCATCAATCTCCAGTTTGCCTATGCAGGGCCTCCTGAAGGCATAGGAGCTGCTGCAGCAGCGGCAAACTCCGGGATTTATGGGATCAGCCAGGTGTCTCCTACAGATTTCCCCAAGCACGAGATCCAGCTTTGCCAAGAGAATGAAAAAAACAACATTATGTTACTTTTTCATGTTCAAAACTCCCTGAAATGCACATTGCTCACAGCGAAGTTAGGAAAAGAGGAATTTAAGTTAAACCTGGTTTGTAGGATAGAGAACACTTGATATTTTTACTTAATGCTGACTTCTGTCAGTGCAGAACCAGCTGGGATTTTTGCAAATGAACATTTATATGAGGTTTTAGGGACCGGCAGCAGAATTTCTGGCAGAGTTTCAGCAAAAAGTAGGACCCAGATACCAAAAGGAAGCACTCACGTGTTCCTCGGCACAAGGCAGCAGCTTGTCCTGGCCCAGCTGGCAGCATTTGGAGCCGATGGTTGTCATTTCCTTGGTGAATTTGATCAGCTCTGCCGATGTCAGCTGAGGCATCTTCTTGGTGAAACTCATGAGGAGCCTGAAATGACAGATTTTGTCATGCTGGTGTTTTTGTTTCACCAGGCAGTAGTGAGCAGCCTCTGCCTTCCCTGTGGGATGCTCCAGCCAAGCCCCACGAAACACTCCTTAGCATAAGGACAGGACTAAGCCTGGTGTTTCTAGGTCCAGGTGGGCAGGTGTAAGGCTGCCCTGTTTGTGTGAAGCCATGTGTTGCAGTAGTGCCTTTAGCCTGGCCTGTGTGAGCCGTGTGGCGTTACCCCAGGACTGTGCCCAGTGGGAGCAGGGTAAGGAAACGCAGGAAAAAGTAATACTCGTTTTGGAAATAGTAATCTCCTTTCTCCTTGTAAATGTCACAGCTTGTCCTCATGACACTCTGCGTTTCATAAATATGTTTCCTCAGTTCTTCTTCCTGAAAAAAAAATAAATGAATTTGAGGAAGGGGAATGCAGAATGTCCTGAGTATCTACAGCTGTCTCTCACCTGATGTGGACCCCCTGGTTTTAATGCCATTTCTGTCTGAAACCCCTGTAAACTGCCTGAATGTGGTAAAATGTCCACCTCCGTTCCCCATGACCTGGAAGGCCGTGTCTGAGACACCGGGCAGCTCCTGACTTCAGGTATTATAGGGCCACTGTCCTGATCTCAGACAGTGACCATAAGCATCTTTACATTTGGGAGAGGGAACTGGCACTGCTCAGGAGCAGGGCCCACAGAAGTGTTAGCTCCATCCGTTTCCCTCCGTCTCCATCTGTCCATGTTAAATTGCTTCACAACTAAAGATTGCACAGGCTCTGTGGTGCTTTTTCCAGTTGGGAATCAGTCAGGCTTTGCAGGATTTGCTGGGATTGTTACAGGAGCTGTGACTCTGGAGGTGGAGCAGGGATATTGGCATTTTAGTCACGGGGTGACATGCCTGACCCCCTCCATGTGCTGTGAGGAGCCTGAGGACCCAGCAGCACCCACCCCTCTGCTGCGGCAGCCACTGGGAGCCCCGGGCCTGCAGCACTCCCGCAGCAGGTCCTCGTAGCCTTTGCCAATCCTGAGAAGCATCTGGGCAGAAAATTCCGGGTGTCTCCTGGAGTATTCATACAGAAACCTGCAATATGAGGAAGATCAGGAATTAGGGAGAAGCCAAAACAGCTGCCCTTGGGTGGGAAGGACAGCAGGAGGATTTTAGGGTGGGTTTGTCCAGTGGAACAGGGAGAATTTCACAGAGGAAGCCCTGTGTTACCTGGCTAAGTGCATGTCTTTTTCCTGGGCAAAACGTTCACATATTCCTTTGTCTTCAATGAACTCCCTGACGTGGGGGGACAAGCCTGCAGGCTTGTCATCGTTTTCCACGTTGAGGATGCATTCGCTCCTTTGTAACAGGGGCTTTTCACAGCACTGCTGGATCCGGCTGGACAGGACGTGCTGGCTGCTGCACACGTAGCGCAGGATCTCTTCCTGTACAGGAGAAAGGGAAGCCGAAAATCTGAACCCGGCAACAGCAAAGGCATGAAATGTCTGCAGCCACACGAGTGGGAAAGGGCTTTACCCTGTCCCGCATGCAGCCCAGCGTGTCCCCGCGGCAGCAGTCCTTGTGCATGTCGGCCACGGCCACCACCAGTTTGTGAACGGTGACAAAGTCAGCTTTGGGGAATTTTTGGCTTATCTGGGCAAGCTTCCTACAAGGAAAGAAAATAGTTACTGTTTATATTCACAGTGGGAGACTGTGCTAGCTATCATCATTTTTGTGTGGAGAGGTTGTCTAACTGATCACAGAGAGGTGTGGTTGGTTCAGACTTTGGGATTAGACTTTGGAGTCTCTTGGCAGTTCATAAGGAAATGATGATGCTGCCACACACAAATCTGAATTTCTGCTCTGTCTTCCTTGTTAGATGCTACTGGTGACCTGCACATAAACGGGAGAGGGCTGGTACTCAGAGTCACTGTGGAGCCACAGCTTTATTTCAAAATAATAATAAACATGGGGAAGACTCACAAAGCCTTTAAGGTCCTTTCTCCAAACTTCTTCAGGATTCCACAAGTGTGTTCCTGCCTCAGGGAATCTTCTTTTATCAGCTTCACCACCTTCGGTGCCTGGCAGAAAGAAGGTGCAGCCACAAAATTGAAAGAAAATGAAACTGAAACTACCATGGTGACAGTTTTTAATTTTTTAAATTTTTTTTTAATAGTGAGAGAAAACAAGCTGAGAGCTGTACAAGTTGCAAGATGTAACTGTTGCACTTGCTGATTAGTCACCAGCATTTATTAAGTGCTCTGTGAAAAGAAAGCAGAACCCTTCAGACAATAGTTGAGTGCTTTTAGCACAGGGGGTGCTCCAGGGCAGCCTGATTTCAGCTTGTGCTTAACAAGGGGAATTCCAGTATCAGGCTCAGATGTTGAAAAAGAAATGCTGATATATCTACCTCAGTATCTGTGTAGCTGTAGCAAAGCTACACATTAATAACCTCAAATTCTGTGGTGGAATACCTGTCTCTGGAAGCATTCCTCCATGTGATGGGAGGGGCCTTCAGCACTTCCACAGCAGTTTTCCATCATCTCCTCATACTGCAGCGCCACAGAGAGGATTGTTGGGGCATAGAGGAAGGGATGTCTTCTGGAAACTTCATAGATAAAACTGAAACCAGAGAAAAACATCTTTAGTCTCAGGGTAAGTTGATAGCATAATTATAAAAGTAATAAGATTATAAAAGCTACTAAAGTTATTGGTTTCCTGACATAACAAACAGCTACACTGTGTGGTGTTTATCTTGGAAAGTTCTGGTGGGGCCAACGTTTTCCTGGAAATTGAAGTCTCAAATCCTGCCAGTTCTGTCTTAGAGGCAGCACAACTCCTGCTTGGCTTCTAAGGACTAAAGAGAGGCCCTTGGTTTCAGGTGAGTCCTTTGTATAGAATACAATAAACCAGGCCAGACTGATTGTCACAGGGAGCTACAGTCAAAGCAGGAGGTGGCAGAACATGCTTTATAGAACAGCAATTACAGCTGGTTGAATTATGCAAATAATTCACATTAGAAGAAAAATCATTATGAGAGAGGCAGAACTTTCTGGTTGCTGCTGCATTTGCTGTCCCCAGCCCATAGCAGCCACATCCAGGCAGCCAATCTGTGATTTATTACTTACTATCCTGTTAATGGCTGTCCATGCTGTGAATGGTTTCTGCAGGCAGCTTCAGCATCTGGCCTCTCCAAAGGAGAGCTGAACCCTCGTGAGGAGTTTTTCAGGGAGAGGAAGCAGTCATTTCTTTCAGGATCCTTTTTAGCACAGCAGTCAGCAGACCGGGGAAGGTTTTCCTCCTGGCATATTGTATCGAGGAAAATCCTGTCCTGTGAAAAATTAGAAGTTCACCTTTACAGAGGGGAGAAGGAGAGTCCACGAGCCAAATGTACATGTGCAAGGAGGTCTCGTCTCTCAGTAATGGATTCGTGCCTCTGGAAGAACTCATGCCAGAGCTCTGGAATGACAAGCCATACCTGGAAAGCATAACTGAGCTTACCAGAGGCTTCAGGCAGTCGGGGCTGTCGCTGGCCACTGCCGCACACCTTCTGGCCAGGGCTGTGACCCCCTCGGCCATCGCGGCCGCTCTGCCGAACGTCCCTCCTGGCACGTACTGGGCAAACAGGATCAGGGCACTGCAGGGGGAACACGCAGCATTAAACCTGTGCCTGGCCACCTACAAACTACTTACAGAGCTCTCTGGTGAGAGGCAGTGAGAGGATATGTACCACCCCGGTCCTGCATGGGTGAGGGGTAGGGTTAGGGCTCATTCCCAGTGACACGAGGCTGTGCAGTAGCAGCAAATTTGCTTTACCTGCACAACTTACATGGCTTTAAAATTGCTCTCCTGCAGCTGAGAAAATCGTTGGCCAATGCTTGTTTTTTCCTCTGGAAAACAAGATCATTAGAATAAGAAGTGTTCACTAAATGCTGTATCAAGCTCGAGTGTTTCTAGGAGGGAAAATTTCCCTTCAGTACATTTCCTCTCAAGTTTTCCTTCTATACAGTTCCTCTCAGTAATCCCTTCCCCTCCTGCATGCTGCAGAGATTCTCAGGGAATTAGAAGCAATACACTTGGGGCTGATCACACCAGATTTATCCAGGTGTACACTTTTGCTGTACACCTTTGTCCCGTAAGAAAATCCCCATGAAGAACTGTGGCCAAGCGAGCCACCAGATAACCACGTGTGCTGAGTCCAGCCAGCAGTGTTAAACAAAAAATAGAGGAAAAATACGAGATGTCCTTACCTATGTCCTGAGAAGTTCTAGGCAGGGCTTTGGCTACTCTAAGGCTCACCAATAAAATGACATAAATGATTGTTCTCCAGTCCATCCTGTCAGATTTTGGCAGGGGCCTGGGGTGAGTTTGCTTCATCTGTGACAGGCAGAAAGAATTAAGGGGAGGGTGGTACTTTTATACTCTCCCAGATGATTCCTGGTTAATCAAAACCCTTTTACTGTCAGATTTCACATTAGTCCTTTGAGAATACTCCCACAATAATTAGACATGCTCAGGATGATGAACTGACCACCTTGTTGCAGAGGAAGGACCTTGAAGATTTTTTTTTCCCCTGAAATTTAGACAAATAGACATTTTCTACTTATCACACCTCACACAAGAAGTTAAACATGCTGGGCTTTTTATTGCGCACACTTATCTCTACTTAGAGATTGCTTAAGGGTGATTGCTGTGCAGAAAATGACTTTGGAACACATTAGTGACTGGAAAAATCCCAAGTTCAGCTGTTACCCTGATATTTCTGCATTCCCTCCTTGCTGTACAAGCTCTCTCCTGCTCCCAGCTCCCAAGGAGTCATGGAGAAAGGCTGAGTGATGTACCCCCACACACATAACATTTTTGCAGCATTGATGATTACTATCAAAATGTCTATGAAATTTGGAAGAAAATCAACTCTGAAACTGTAGGATAAAGGGGGAAATTCTGGTTAATACAGGTGTTTTACTGATTTTTTTTTTTTTTTTTTTTAGAAGTATGCTGTAAGCATCAGCAAGATAAAAAGACAAAATTTTGGAGATAGAATGGCTTGGGAGAGCTGCAGTTATTGGTAATACAGAGGTAGGTGGGCAAGGACTGTATTTCCACATATGTGATCATCACAGAATCACAGACTGGTTTGGGTTGGAAGGGACCAGCTTGCTCCAAGCCCCGTCCAACCTGGCCTTGGACACTTCCAGGGATGGAGCACCCATTTAAACCCTCTAAATTCAATGTCTCCATCGTCCCTTTCCATGCTCAGCAGGATGGGTAACTGCTTTTCACTTTCCTTGGAAAACCCTTGCCACTCTTGGGATGGTATTTGGGCTGTGTACAGTGAACACTCCTCTGCAGGAGGGAAACGTGTGGTGTTTAACTGCAAAGCAGTGTGGTGAGGATCATTTCCAGGAGAGGCCCTTCCACTTAGTGCGTTCAGTGCAATGAATGTCCTTCTGGAGGCTCTGGTGCGAAGTAGTTATTACCCCTATGAGGGAGGAAGGAACTAAGACTTGATCCTGGCGGGTTCTCGATATTGGGAGGGGGATCTGCAGCCCAAATTTAAGTGTGAAAGCTTTAAAGGAGTGCTGTTTGTAGAGGCTGCAACATATATTTGTTACCAACACAACACGCCCTTTGCTGGGAAGCAAAGCCTGGGTGCCAGCTGATTGTGAGAGCATAAAATGAACCTACAGCATCTGGAATAGGAGATGTAAGAAATCCCTCAGGTTGAAACCCTTCTCCCCTGTCCCACCCTCCCCTGCACCTCCTAAGCAGAACAGCCCTGCTTTTATCTCAGTTCCAAATCCGACTGCAGCTGAAGTGGACACGGCAGAGTACAAAGGGTGACATTTACAGCCTGTCCTTGGCCTGTGTGGCCCCGGGCTGGGATGGTGTGGCCCAGAGAAGCCGGGACGGGTGTCCAAACAAGTTATCTCAGCACAAACGGGGGTGCAGGGACCTGCTGGCTCAGCACGGATGGGCAGGGCAGGGAATGGCTCTGCCTGCCACAGGGAGCACGGACTGGAAAAACGTGCAGGTAATTGGGCAGCGCTGAAGTGGTTAAAGAACACTGTACTTGTGCAGGTTTGGGTACAGCTGCAGGTGTGCTTAGTCCTCCTCCTTCTCTACTCAGACTCTACAAGGGAAAAAGGAAAGTCAGGCCATCAGAAACCAACCCAGATGGATAAAAAATATCAGCTGTGGAAAGCCGCAGCCCAAAAGAGAGCCTGGGAATACAAGGACTATTACTCAGCATGGGCCCAAAAGCTCTTGAGTAGTAATTTTCCAAACCACATCAACACTGAGGCTTAAGATGCTACTTTAAGTGCTGCAGCTTGGCTGCAGAGCTCTGTCTTTATGGCAACTGGAAGACACTGTGACACAGGAGGGAAACAGCTGAGTTCCTCTGGATTGTAGACATGGGGGTGGGATCCAGGGAAATCAATTCCCTGGACACCTGGAGCCCGGACTATCGGGTGGAATTTCGCAGCCGATGGACCGAGGGCGCCGCCTGGCGAATTCTGCCCAGTACTGCAGGAGGTGCAAGTACCGACGGTTCCCGCAGTAAATGCCACCCGGAATTGCAGGCTGAGTGTGACCCGAGGGCAATTCCTGCCGAAATCCCACCGGACCTGTAGGCACAGTATCCTCAAACATTTCTCCCTGGTGAAAAGAACCTGGAACTGCAGACACTGTGCCCCCAAACACCTCCCCCTCGCAAATAAAGCCGGGAACTGCAGCCACAGCACGTCTGGAGGGCGTTCCCTGCAGGACCTTTTGGAATTCGCCGGGCGGCGCACTCGGCTCGCGCTCCTCCTGCAATTTCGGGGGGATTTCGGATCGGGGCGCGCTCTGCGCTCCTTTTCCTTCTGCAGTCCCGCCCGGGCGGCGCCGCGGACTTAAGTTTTTTTCCTGAGCTTCAGAAAAGCACTGCCCACCCTCTGCTTTTGAGCCCCAAAACCACTTAGGTGGGTTTCTTTTTTGGAGCTGGGAGAATGCAGGACTCAACCTGCACTTCAAGGGCTGAAACTGTGGGACTTAGTCTTTTTCGGAGCTTCACAAACGTAGGGCTGTGCTTTTGGGACCCAAAATCCTGTTTCAAAACGTGCCTGGATCCCTCCCTGAGCAGCCCGGTCCGATCCCATGGGTGCCCGTGGCCTGTGGGCCGCCGTGGTTATTTCACGGACGCTGCCATCTCGCGTCCTTCTGTTGCCATTGCAGCCTCTCTGACAGGCCTTTGACACGCTCGGGCTTCGTTCTCGCTGTCCAGGCCGTAGAATTAGTTCTTTGTAGTGTTGAACCCTTCTCGTCTTGGATGACTTGTTTTTTAGCCTCGAATGCTAATTCCAAGTGTATGGAAATCCCCCGCACTTGGGAGTTTGCGGCGCTCCGGGTTAAATCTTGGCTCTCCAATGTTAAACTGTGGGCGAGGGGCGGTGGCCAAGCAGGGCCAGCGGCGGGGCCGGACGGGCCGGCCCGGGGGTCCCTTCTCGGCGGGGTCGCAGCCGCGGGACCCGCCCCCGCCCCGCGCGGCCCCTCCCGGCGCGCCCCGCCCGTCCTTGGGGGCTGCGGCCGCTCCCGGCGCTGCCGAGGCTGCCGGGGAGGGACCGGCCTGTGCTGGGGGCAAGGGGGTTTGTTCCTTGTGTTCGAGGGCGGCAGCGGGAGCGGCGCTGCGGGCCGGGACGGGCGGGAGGTGCCGGGTGAGGGCGGGGAAGCCGCGGCGGGGCCCGGGGGCTGCAGCTCTCTGGCTTCCCGACTGGCTTTGCAGACATTTGCCACCTTCAGAGGAGGCACAAATCCCCGCGGAGCTGAGCGACGGGTGCGGGGAGCGCAGGGAGCTGTGACCAGGGGAGGGTGTGCGCAGTGCCCCAAAACCCGCACCCCAAACCAGCCCGAAACAGCCCCAGAGCCCAGAGCGAAGCGCCGCGGGATCGCGCCGGCCCCGCCCCCCGGCCCGCCCCCAAGGACGCCGCTGTCCCCGCTCCACGCCCCGCTCCCCTTGTCCTGGGAGAGCTCCCGGCCGGGCCGTGCCCGCGGAGCTCCCACCGCCCTTCCCTGGCCCCAGCAGCGCCCGCCGGGGCTGCGGCGGCGGCGGGAGCCGCGCTGAGTGAACGGGGGGCGGGGCCGCGCTGAGGGAACGGGGGGCGGGGCCGCGCCGAGGGGCGGGGCCGGCGGAGCGGGCGGGGCGGGGCCGCAGGGACAGGCGGGCTGCGATTGGGCGGAGGCGCTCGAGTGCTGATTGGGCAGCGCTGCCGGCCCGCGGTATAGAAGGGCCGGCGGGGCAGGTGCGGGCGGTTGTGTGTGAGGGCTGAGGGTGCGGCCCCGCTGCTGCCCGGGCTGCGGAGGGGAGAGCGCCTTGGCCGCTGGGTTTATGGATCGGGGGAGCCGGGGGGCGTTTAGGGGCGCGTTGTGCTGGGCGGCGGGGGCCAGGTAAGCCCGTTCCCTGCCGGGTGCCCCCGGGGGGAGCCGTGGCAGGGCTGCGGGGCTGGTGCTCTCTGGGTGTCTCAGGTTTTGCTTTGGAATTCCAAAGCCTTTCCCTGTGCAGGGTTACGAGGCAAAGACTGGTCTCCGTTTCTTGGTGCTGCGTTAATGCTTTTTGCTCGTTTTGTGTCAGTTTGCAGCCTGGCTCGTGGTTTCCCCTGGTGCTGGGGAGTGGAGGCGAGTTGTGCTTCCTGCTGGGAGAGAGAACGGCCTTGGGAAGCTGCTCCATGACCCACAGCTGTGCCGAGCCCGGGAGTCTGTCCAGGTAAGAGCAGGGCTTGTACTCCCAATGAGGAGCTGGGTTTTGCTGTTGGCAGATAGAATATGCCCATGCCTTTAAATGTAAGGACAGGCAGAAGCTGGGAGGGACCCTGAGCAGGTTTGGTGGCTCGACAGCAGTTTGAAAAGACCTTGACTGTGGGAAAAGTGTCCAGGAAAAATGATTGCTTTTTTGCAGGGAGGCAGTTTGCAAGGACAGGGGGCTTGCTGTGCTCTGTAGCAAAAATAGTCCCCTTGGGATGTCCAGGGTGAGGAAATGTTGGCCACGTGTGGGCTGGAGCAAAGGTGTGTGGGTGCCTGTGTGTGACACCCGTGGGTGTGCAGGAAGGGGGTTCTGGTGTCATTGGAGCTGCCAGGGAGCCAAAAAGGGCACAGTTGTCTGAAAAAGGTGAAAGCTCTGTTGGTCTCTGTTGACTCCTGCACCAAAGGAGATGCAAATTTTCCCCCTCTTGGTTGCAAACTTCACAAAGCTCCCAGGAGAGAAAGTTTTAAATTTCAACTCACCTTTATGCTAAAGGTTTCCTTGCTCTCTCAGCAGGATGTCGAGTGCCACCGTGTCCCTGAGGTCACCCTTTCTGCTGTTGGGAGAGCACGAGGTGGATGGAGAGGATCCCCAGACATCTGCAGGCACAGGGGACTCGTACAACTGTGATTTTCCTACAGCCCTCGTGAGAGGGACTTGAGGGTACCATGGGTAGTGTGCCAGCTCTCCTGCTGGAGTTTTTGTTATCTGCTATATTTGAACACAAAGAGTAAAAGTAAAGTCAGGTCTGTTCTGCAGTGTGTTACACTTGTGCAAAACTCCTTCCCTCTGTTTATTTTCTGTTCTGGAAAATAAAGTCTGGACTTCCTGGGCACTTCTATTAAGTGATACCATGAAAATAATATTGTACTAAAAGGGGAAAGGAACTATCTGTTGGAGGTCAGATGTCCCTGATAAAAGCTTTGTTTTTTCACTCAGTAAACTTTTAAAATATCTCACAGTGTGTAGGAATGCCTGGTTTCTAAAACTCACCAGCTGAGTCTTAGAGGCTTCTTTGAAGAGCTGTTTTCAGGCAGCA